GGTTAAGAAAGCTAAGGACCAGTAAGGGCTTCTGTAGGCTTGTTGCTAACAAAAGAAAGACCAGGGATAATGAGAGCCCTCTCTAGAGCTCGGCTCCTACAGGGAGTCAGTCTTTTGTTTTGCCATACCTCAGTTTTATGATGGCATCCTTAATAACAATGGGGGATGGTAATCACCTGTTAAATGTGGTTAAGGGTTCTGGATTGTATAGGGAACAGCTCTGAGGGGATGTAATTGGGTTTCTCAAGTTTGCATCTTTTTAAGGGGAGGTGTGCCTTAGGAATGCTACATTCCTCTGCCTGAGGGATATTGTGTGGGAGAAAACTGTACCTGAAAATGTTTGGCAGTGGCTTTAAAGGCACTTTTCATGGCTACTACTGAACTTCTCAGTGGGTGCTTCTATGAAGGATACCAGCTATCCATATTATTGGGTTTGTTTTATGAATCTGATGTGCAGCCTGAGCCCTTCAATATAAATTAAAACAAACCAATGCAACCTTCCACTGTTTATAGTAGAAAACAGATTTTTTTTTTGTTTAACATAAAGGTTTGGAAGAGCACTTGGCAGCCTTGGAAGCCACGTCTGATTCCTTTAGTTTTGCCAAACTGAAACTTGGCTCCAAGGAGATGGTGGGGGTTTGAGCACATCGTCCTTGGCTCTCACTCCCTATTTACAGTCCTGTTCTGGGAAGGTTGAAGCTTCTTTCTTGTCAGAGGCCACTTATGCAGAATATGGACCCCAGTGCCCAAGGTCTCCTGTTCTCCATAATGATACTAAATGCAGGAAAAAATTGTTGTATTCCTCTTTCCACAGTGCAGAGTTTTTGACTTCTCTCTGTCATAGGAGAGCATTACTGGTAAAGCCAGGAAATTATTTCATTGCTCTTTCCTTCAAGTCAGATCTTTAATAAAATAGAAAACAAAACAAAGCAAAACAAAAAAATCCCACTCTTTTCATTCTTGGGAAAAAAAAGAGAGAGAAGAGATAAATGGCTTTCCATGTGATTGCTAGCCAAATGTTTCCAAAGCCCAGTTAAAAAGTTCCTGTTTTTAACTCCCAGAACATTTTTCATTGGAATAATATTTCTTGTCTTTTTTCCCAATTCCTGCTTGTCAGATCTTGCCCTGCTGTGCTTTGTCAACAATATTTTTAGGTTCCAAGACACCTCTGCTCTATATGCCATGGATTTGTGAACCATTATCTGCTCTGCAACCAAATTTCAGCTCCACTCAAGTTATTCTGAAGGCACGGTTCGGCTGAAGCTTTAGCTAAAGAAGCTTCTAATTAGAATTAAGCGTGCTGCTTTGTGCCTCCACCTCCAAATGAAATACAGCAGAGGAGTCAAAGTCAGGATAATAAAGGAGTCATGCTGGAAAAGCACATGTGTTGTATGAATCACCCCGTTGGCTATGCTATATTTATCTCTGTCACACTTTGCTATCGGCCCTTTTCATCGCAGGGGGAACGTGTCCTGTGCGCTGCTCACTTCCAAGTGAATCCCAGATCTGACCACACAGAGCATCACCACAACTTGGTGTCTCACTGAGGCAGGACTGAGCCCTCTCTGTCAAGCAGCTTCCAGAAATAGATAGCAAACAAGTAAGACAGTATGTGCCCTTTGGGGACAGACTTTTGAGAATTTTATTTCATGGTTACAAATTAATGGCCTGATGATTTTTTCTTTCCTGTTGATGAGGCCCTAGGAGACTGTGTCTTCAACCTGCCTAATTTGTGTTGTGAGGATTGCATGAAATCAAAACTAATTGCTGGCTAGTCTGGCTAAATACCCTGCAGATTCCAGTCTCACCCTGAATCAGGCTGGTTTGGTTAGTATGAGATCTGGGTTGGAACAACTACTCACCTTGGTTTTTTACAAGTGCTCATACTGGTGTCAAGTTGTTTTGCAGATGCAGACTAGCCTTTCTCACTTTGCTGTGGAGTAATACCTTGGAGCCACAGTGCTACAATGTTTAGTGGGTTGCAGTGTTTACACACTGTTCACTACCACTTGCAATTTGACTGAATAAACTGCGCTACAGTAGCTGAAAAAAAATCTGAATTTTGGTGCAAACAGGACATCTTTCAGTGTCAGTGGGCTGAAGAATATTTTGGAGTTGGTTCAAGTCTGTGGCTTTTCATGCAGGATATGAAAACCTAGGAAACGCTGCAGAAGGTTCCTGTCAGTTCCTCAGTAAAGTTTTGTTCCTTAAACTGGATTAGCCTTGCAAAGAACCTGAAGGACCAGGAGTCTTTGTGGATCAGGATGCTTTATTGCTGCACAGCCTGGCCATGGTAGGCTTGCACCTCACCTGCCCAGTAATTTGCACTCCCTTGTGCAGGAACCCAGTTAAGTTCAGCCCTGCACTTTACACTGTGGCATGTGTATTTACTTTGTTCGTCGGGCTGCATGGAATTGAAACGCTGGTTGAACAGCTGCATAGAGTGTCTGATGTCACTTTTCACACACTGAGACTTTTCAGTCTTTCCCATTTTGATGCAGATATCTTTTGGCACCTCTCAAGGTGGAATTAGCACAGGTCCTGTGGGCAAGGAGGCTCTCTCCACTGTCCTTCTCTGCCTTTGTTTTTGGCTTTCTTTTGCTGTTTATTTACTGAACCACTCAGGCTTGTGCTGGTTTGAATGTCTGCATTGTCTGGACACACTGCCAGCAGCAGCAGCGAGTCTGTGTGGTGCTCCAGGTCTGAGTTAAGGAATCTGGCTAATAACTTAATAGCTTCTCATCTGCACCGAGCTCACTCTGAAAAGTGCTTTATTGTGGGCTGGGGAGCACACAGATGGCAGCACTCTATTTGTCTCCAGGCTGTCACATCACTAGTTGTTCTCAAAACGGGGTGCCTTCACAGGCTGGTGTTCACTGAGGCCTGTGGCTTTAAAGAGCCTTTTCCCCGAATAGGATTTGATACAATGGGGAGAAAAGAAACAGCATCTGCTCTTACAATGATGGCTCAGAGGCATTAATGCTTTTCTCATGCACATGTCAACACATGAGCGCAGCAGCCTGTGGATATTGTGTTCTCAGTTTGATCTCCCTTGCCTTGAAGTTGTGGGTAGGGTTGGAAACAGAGTGCCATCCATCCCCTTTTGCGATTTGTCTGTCTCTCCCTGAATGCCCATCAGCACCAGTAACTCTCGGGTTCTCTAGCTGGTCAGAGTGACCCCAAGATATGTTAGAAAGTCTCTTTTCCCAGCCCAGAGATCGAAGAAGGAGTCAGAACTCTTCAGTTCTCATTCTCAAGGTTGTTTATTGTTTCTTATCTGTAAAATTCTTTCTCCTGGCCTGCCAAGGTCTGCTCAGCAAGACAGTCAGAGGCACTCTGCCTGCCCCCGGGGCAGTGTTATCTTCTTATACTAAAAACTACGTGTACAATATTTACAATTACTTTCCAATACCTATCATCTATGTTAGACAGTAAGCTTCTACTCTAAACCAATCTAGAAGTGCCAACATCACAGCAGAAGATGGAGGCCAAAAAGAAGAAGGAGAAAGGCTGGACACACCCAGATTCCTCCACCTTGCCCCCCGAACCCCCATTCTAAAAACCCCAAAGATATCTATTTTTCACCCTGTGATAAATTCACTATCATTCTACTTAAACTGTCGTGGCTTGTAATTCTTCATATAAAGGTTGGTAATTGTTTTTTCCAAGGGCTAAATCAAAGGCACAGGGGTCTTGGGCTCTGTGCCAAGGTCTCTGGGCCCCCTGGGCAGGGGCTCGAGCCCTCCAGGGCAGCCAGAGGAATTTCCTGGGTTCCCACAAGTAACTGCTGCAGTAGAGTTAAAACCAGCTTGTTTGGGGTTAAAACTGGGCACAAACTTAGCTTCCCATCTAGGCTATAAAACCTAAGTTCCTTAATCTGACAAGAACTGCTACTCCCAGAAAGAGGGAAGGAGGGAGAAGGAAGGAGTTCATAACACAACACTCAAGCAATCAGAGAGATTTTATCTTTTGGCCTTTTCAGATATTGCATTACCAGAAGAGCTCCTGAGTGGTCCTGGCCCCCTTGCTGCCCACCCACTGCTCTGAGTGACTAAACAGCCTGCAGCACTGACTGATCTTTTCTTTGGAAAGACGTTTTGATATTTTGATTCCACAGGCACTGAGATGCAAACTGATGAGTAATTGCTTTATTTTTCCTAAAGTTGGGAAACACAGGGCTGGATATTTTCACATATTCACAGAATCTGGGGAGAAGGTTTAACAAAACTCTGAATCTGGTCTCATCTTTTATATCATTGGTGAACTTGGACAGCAGGGGTAAGCAAGTATGCCCAGGCAAGTTTTTCCAAATTTCTGTAGAGCCACTCAGAGGGTAGGTGGAGGCAGATGCACTGAAGCATCAGGCTTTAGCCTGGGTCACGCCTGTCACAGTGTTATTGGGAAAACCAAGCACCAATTTACCAGGGTGGAGTTGGGAAATGGGAGGTTTGGGATTGCAGTTACATGGCTGTCGTGTTGCATAAAGGAGACTGTCCGCTCACATGACTTTTCCAGGGCTTCACTTCAGTCTCTCTCCTTCGGCGCTGGCATTGGGAGGTGTGTCAGCCTGGGACAGCCTGAGCCTGCTTCCCCTCAGAGTGCTGCTCTTACGGAGTTGCTTTCAGGACTTGACCAAAGTGAACGTTGTACCACATCCCCAAAAGCTTTATACAAAGTCTGAGTTGCCAAAGCCTGTTAGGATTTTTGTACCTCCTTCTAACTCTTAGCCTGGACATCTTATCTGTTATTTAATAAAGAAACAGCAAGATAGGAAAGAAGCACCTGGCAATTGTGACCGGCAGTGGTGAAAGCCTGTGTGGCCCTTTCCTGAGGGGCCTGCACAGGCTTGAAAACAGTGCAGTCTTTACTGTGTGCAAGTAACCCATGGCATGATACTGAGGTTTTTTTTTTCTAGTGCTGTATTATCTCTGGGAGATAGAAAACCCCTTACATTGTGCCTTCCCTGAATTATCCCTTATCTCTTTTGTGTGTCTCCCCAGGGCAAGATGCCACAGACACCTCCCTTTGCAGCCATGTTTGACAGCAGCAGCTACAACAGGAACCTGTATCAGTCAAAAGAGGACAACTGTGGAGGGCTCTATTACCAGGACAACAATCTCCTGTCGGGGTCTCTGGAAGCTCTGATCCAGCACCTGGTACCCAACGTGGATTACTATCCTGATGTAAGTTAACTGTGTGGCCAGGCCTGATATGTCTCCTGAAGGGAAACATGTGCAGCAAGAGCAGATTGTGTCCCATCCATGGCTGAGGAAGAGGTTCAGCTGGCGGGCCAGCAGTGATAACAGGTGCCTTACCTGAGTGCATCCTGCAATAACTCACCCAGCCTAGGAAGTCCAAAGCTTTATTACTCCCGTTGTAAGGTGAGGAACCCTGGTGACTCATTTATAAAGCACACACCCAGACTGGCTTATTGCTTGATGGACTGTGTGTACCATTGACCCTCAAAAATGCTGCCAGGCAAGCTGAAGAGAGGCATGACCACCATTGTGACAGAATGAAAGTATTTATTGCAAAACCAAGTGGTTTTAATGCATAATTCCCATTGTTCATCTGAGGTCAATGTGTACTTGCAATAAGAAACCAAAATGTTGGACTAGTACCACACTATGTAGGATCAGCAGAGGCTGGATGTGACAACAGGAGGTTTATCATCTGAGAATTTTTGACTTGTGTGGGCACATCCATGCTTTGAGACACTTTCTGTAATTCTTAGAAAAGAAGATGAAAAAGAATGGTGTCAAAAGGTGGCAGGAAAGGGCAGCTGGGGATAACTGGTGGATGATGAAACTGCTGCTCTACTTGTAAATATGCTCCTGCTGAAGACATAACTCTGCTTATATTCAGCTTCTGTTATTGTCATAGATCTGTTCACATTTCCAAGACAGGATCTTTTTTAATTTGGGTTAGAATTAACAGCAGCACATTACCTAAGCTAGTGCTTAATGCTTAGTGTAAACTTCAAATATGTAGCAATTTAGACATTGGTTGATCCAACTTGATGATTTATTCCCAGTTTCTAGAGCGAGAACATTGTAGATTCTTTGTAGAGTGGGTGCCATGGATACTTAGCTAGTAGGAAAGTGGAAAGTGGAATGGATATTCTGAATATCCATCTCACAATCTGTTCGAATCATGACACATGGAAAATAAAAGCAAAATAAGGAGCCTCTTCTTGTAACCTCAGAATCAGTTACTGATTTTTATTCTGTAACAATAAGCTGTGTAGTTCCCTCTGCTTTCACCCAGGAGATAAAGGTTTACTGTAGAGCAGGAGAAGATGAGTTGAAATTTTGTTCTGAGTAATTTCAGGTAATAAGCTTGCAATAAGGCTGTGTGCAATAGGAGAGCTAAACCACCTTTGCCCTGCCTTGTTTTGGTTTAATCTTGCATAACTTGGCTCGAGCACAAATTTATAATATTGGTTCTGGAGCAATGATAAGCATTAAATTAAATGCTTACCTCTGTAGTAATTGCTTTTGGCAGAGCCACTTGTAGTTTTCTTCTGCAGATAGTAAAGTACAAAGAGCACATTTTTCAGGAAGGCATTTTGAGAAAATATAAAAAATGCTGGTAATTTATGCTTTTCTCTGTCTTCTTCTTGCTCACAGAGGACGTACATCTTCACCTTCCTGCTCAGCTCCCGCCTCTTCATGCACCCGTACGAGCTCATGGCCAAGGTCTGCCAGCTGTGCACTGAGCAGCAGAGGCTCAGCGAGCCTGGCCTGGACAAGGTGAGGTCCCACACTCTCAGGGACTTCCCAACTCCCTGCCCAAACCCTGCTATTCAAGAGGGTCCTCAGTGGGATAGAACAGACTGAAAATCTGACACAAGCAATTAGAGTTTGACCCTTTATTCAGTGAGATTCTTGGGGAATTTCCATACTGCTCAGCCTGTCCTCCATGAGGGCTTCTGCTCCTGCTGCATTGTTTGTTTTACCAAGGGAATCTGTGAAACAGAGTCTTGAACAGACCAAAATCTGCCCTCTGAAAGTCCAATGCAGAGGTTTTGTTGACCCCCCATCCTTATTTCACTGAGAATCAAAAATCATTTTGTGGTCACTATGCCCAAGGCAGCTCTGACCACCACATCTCCTCACCAGCCCTTCTCTGTACACAGGTTTCTCCCTGTAAGGTGTAGTGCATGCATAGGTCATGGCACAACTGAAATGTACCACTTTCTTTGTTGACAGTTAGTCATAACTTAGGGAAACACTAATCAATGCCTTGCACTGAGGCACTCCTAATAGTGAGGGGAGTCATTTCCACCCACCTGAGGCCTAATTTCCAGTTCAGCTAAACCAATGAGAGTCTCTTCATTGGTTTCCATTGGCTCTGACCTATAATCCGGTGCTGAATAAAGTTAAGATTAAAATTTACCTGACATTCATACCCTTCCACTCCACAGTATCCTGCAGAGCAGAATTCTGTTTCCTTTGAGCTGGATATTTCCTGCATTGCTGTTACATGTAACATTCCTCACTACTGTTTCCAAATAGAACTGGACCCAGAAAATTGCACCAAAAATCCTGCAGTTGTTGACTGAGTGGACAGAGACTTTTCCTTACGATTTCCGAGATGAAAGAATGATGAGGAACTTAAAGGAGCTGGCACAAAGAATAGCCAGTGGAGATGAGGTAAGTTGCCTGCACACAAAGTTACTGGATAAAAAGGCATTCCTGTTACTGCTTTGATATTGCTGTTAGTAACATGGTGTGGGTCTGGGTGCTTAGGAAAACTTATTACCAAAGTGGTGGTAGACAAAAAGTTCTGTCTGGTACCTAAGCCTAGGATGAAACCACACAGCACAAGCAGATCTTCTCCAAAGCATGGACAAGGTTCTCTCCACCTCTAAGCCCATAACATAATCTCATTTTGTGCAGACAGGCACAACTTGGTGGATGTTAGTATTTATCGTTTTACTTGGAAGAAGCTAGCTAGGACAATAGCTGAGAAATCCCTATTAATGTTGATCATTTCTTAAGTAAGGTGTGTTGGAATTGGGCCTTTGACCTGTAGGTCAATAGAAAAGTTACAGCAGGTCTGGGGAGAAATTTCCAAAAGAGGAATGGACCAGAAAGAATTGTCTGGAGCTTAAAGTATCAACTCAGAGGAAGTGTGTCCTATTCCTTCCTGTGGATGGAGCACACAAGGAAATCTTGAAATCCCACTCTTCAGATGGAAGTTCCACATGGGTATTATGAAATATTTTGATGCTTAACTGATGCTTGTCTGTTAAGTACTGAAATAAACTCAGCCAAAAGCCAAGGGTTATATTTACTTAGTGGAAGGGAATTAAAAAGGTTTCAGTAAGCAAATCCTGTGTAGCTGGTATAATGCTGCCATTGCAAAAGACACTGGAGTGGCATTTGGAAGAACTATAAACACAAGTAGCAATTGCTAAATAGCACTGTGTTTCCAGTGTTCCTCAGGGACCAGTGTTCCTTATATAAGCTTTTAAGTAATGGTGTGGATGAGGCAGCAAACAGCACATTAACAGGCGTGGAGGTAAGCTGCGCTCAGAGAAGCTGAGAGTGCTGCCAAAGGCCTGGAAGGGCCTTGAGAGGCTGTACACAAGCATGGAAAAGAACAAACCTAAACTGAACTTGGAAGCTGAAATACATTTTGATGTTGTCAGAGTGGGGGCGGGACAGAAGATGGGACAAGAGAGTGAGATGTAGTAGAAAATACAAATGAAAAAGAGACGTCATTTGATGTGCAAGCTGAAAGTTGCAAGGTAGTTCCAGGGAGCTCTAGGCTGGGAAGGGGCAAGAGGTGTGCCCTCACTCCAGGGGGGGCAGGTTGATTTGTTTCTAGATACTCTTCATAGCAAGGTAGGAAATTGAATTCAGTTCCAGGCAAAGTAGTTGGAATTGAGGGCTCACACCCGCTTGAAAAATACTCACTGGCACAAAGAGAAAGAGCTGCTTAGCCTGGAGGAAGTTGAGTTGGTGGATGGAAGAATGAAATGAGAAGAGGGAAGGGTTGTCTGCAATGAAGTTTCTGGCACTACAGACAGTTTAAACAGTGAAATCGTCTACTGAAGGGAAAGGCAGATGTACAAAGCTGCTAGAAACTGTGCAGAGGGAGCAATCTTACTCAGAGAACTATAAATCCTTTCTAGCTGTAGCTTTGAGGGTTTTGTGACTTTGATGTTTCCTTTAAAAAGACAAAGTTAAAGCAAGCACTGCAGTAAATTGACTTGTTTTATTGTGAGCTGCTTGGAACAGTAAATGGCAACTTCCTTGACCTTGCCTTTCTACAGATCACTTGGATTTTTGTGAGTCATTACCTTAAAGGATACAAAAGAAGCAGTTTCCTATTCCTGTTCACTACAGTTCTACTTAGAGCTTTTTATTCCACTTCCTGAATTATTGTACTCCAGTTCTTTTAAGAGTTGGTAGTAAGAGTACAACCAAAGCCTCTCACCACACTCACATATCTCTCCTTTAAAACAACATATTTGGGAAAATCTTTGGAGAAAAGGACGAATTCATCAGAGTAAAGGAAATATTGCTGCCTTGGACCGATCATACTATAGTTTGCAGACAATAGTTTTTAGATGATCTTTTTTGAAGCCACTTAGGTTTTGCTGTAATGGCTTTAGGATGGTATGTGGAATCTGGAAGAGTAACCCCCTTGGTTACACAGATCCATCTACTTAAAGAGTTGAGTTCTGCTCCTGCTTTAAATTGCCACTCCTGATAACTTAAATCACTACATGGAAAGGCCTGCAAAGGCAAAAGAAGAGAGAGATGGTTTTATTATCTTCTCATTTTCCTCAGATTCACTGCAAGTTTGAGCTCTAACTTTGGTGAAACTGGTCATGATTTGCTGCAGAGAGAAGCAGACCCTTTGTTTATCACTGAACGGCCACGTATCTCTTTTTGTCTGTAGTCTTAAGCAGGAGAAGATGGAGTATTTTAATTTCTTGTATTTCCTCCAGTGGTGGTTGGTGCTTTTCAGGGAGTGGATTAAACACATCTTTTCTTTGAGCTAACTGGGTCAATGTTGAACCTGTGAGACAATCACTGCTTAAACCCTCAGCTGGATTCCTTTTGGTCTGATGAGATGCTGATATTACAAATTCATATAATAGAGCTTACCTTGACAAGAGACACAGGTATCAGCATCCATCTGCTGTGGTGTTGTGCAGGCTTTAGTTCTGTCTTCTCCCATTTTGGAAGTGCTTTCTGACAGTTTGGTGTTTAACAGATGTACAGGAAGAGCGTGCAGCAGCTCCTCCAGACCCTGCTCCGCAAGCTGGCCGCCGTGACCCAGTACGAGGAGGTGCTGGCCAAAATCGATGCCTCCACATCCACAGATCGCCTCACACTCCTGAAAACCAAGCCCCAGTCCGTGCAGAGGGACATAATCACAGTCTGCAATGATCCCTATGTGTTAGCTCAGCAGCTGACACACATAGAGCTCGTGAGTTGTTACCCTCCCAGGGATGAATTCATCCCTTCCCTCTTTTTGAAGTGCAGGTTAACAGGGGATATGACCTGGCTGCTTCTGTGCTTTGTTTAGGAGAGACTCAATTATATTGGACCAGAAGAATTTATCCAGGCGTTTGTGCAAAAGGATCCTTTGAATAATGACAAGGTAATGGGAGCAGATCTGGAGCAGCTCTGAAATGCATCATTTACCATCAGGTGCACCATGAGCTGGGAGGGAGGTCCAGCAATAAATGAGGACCAGTAGAAAAGCTTTAGTATTCCCATTAAACATTTTGTTAATGTTTTTTTTTCTTTCTGGAGTACAATTCCTGAAGCTCAAGAGCTCAGCCAACAAATGGACTTAAATGAACACATTTCCTGGGTTTTCTGACTTAAGCTAAGGGAGATCTTAATCCTGTGAATGTTTTCCCCAGGCCATTTATGTGGCCTACAGCTGGAAGAAGCTGAGTTTAACTTTGCCTTCTGCATTACTCATTTTCAACATCTGTTCTTCCTTTTTAGTAAACTGAACTCTTTGCAGCCAAGTGGCACATGGGGGAATTTGCAGGTAGAGCAAATAGACATAACAAAATGACCACAGAGGGCTCTAGGTCTGTGTGAGATGGAGGGAAAATATGCAGTGTTTTTAACCAGCCACGATGGAGTTGTCATCTCTTTGAGTGCTGTTTTCAAAATGACTTAATTTTTTATGTTTTTCAAGATGACTTAACCTCTGTAAATAAACTGTGACAGAGTCAATCCATTAAAACTTGAATTATCCTTAAACTGACAAACAGAATAGAATGATGCAAGTCTACAATTTGATGTTCAGTCAGATGGTCTCTGAAATTGTTTTTCCAGATAGAGATCACTGAAACTGCTGCCTGCCCCTTTTTAGGCAGCCCTGAGATGTGGTGTGGGAATGATTCCAAGGTGATACAGCATAGCACTGCTCAGAAAAGGGATAATCCCATCAAAATGGTAGAGCTGATCTCCCAAAGTTAGGATGCAGTATGTCCATTTATCATCAACAGCCAAACATAATGTGCCTGACATCTGTTTTCCTGCTGCACTTGCAGAGGGCCTAATGTTTTATCTACTCTATCAGAGGGACAGGAGTAAGGACTGAAACAGTGTGTGTATTCAAGGGAGCTCTATGCAGATATTTATCCCTGATTGTTTGCATAAGTCTGTCTTAGCTCCTTAAAGAATCCCAGTAGGACTTAAAGCATTCCACATGCCTGCTGGAGTGTTTTACTGGGCCAGCAGCTCAGGAGGAAGTTGCACATGCTGGAATAGTACAACTGCTGCTTTCCCTCTAAGGTTTTTTTGTCACTTTGGGTAGTTTGAGTTATTCCTGATTACTTGACAGTGTTTGGGAATGGCAAGGCAGAAAGGCAAAAGATCTCCCAGGGAAAAGATGAAAATGGTGCTGAAAGTTGCTGTTTTATTTCTGTCTGTAGAGCTGCTACGGGGAGCGAAAGAAGACTCGGAATCTTGAAGCCTATGTGGAGTGGTTTAACAGGCTCAGTTACTTGGTTGCAACAGAAATCTGCATGGTGAGCAAGGACTCTTTGTCCTGAAGGTTTTGTTTAGTTATCTAAAACTGTGAAGCCTTTTCTAGTTTGATGCCTTTTGGACTTCCCATTCACTTGGTTCTGTAATTGTTGACATTTGGATGCAGTCAGAGCATGTCTGAAGAGGAAATAAGTGCAGTGTTTTTAGCATTATACTGGTGTCTCAGCCTTGTTGGTGTGACAGTGATGATTTATTCTGGGTTAGCCCTTCTTGGTACGTGAGCATGTCTGGCCTGCTGTTCTCCTCTCTGGAAGGCCCTTGTGAATTGAGGCACATTCTCTCCTCTGGCTGACCCTCTGCTCTGCTCTGCTGCTCTTCATATCCTTCTTCTTGGCAGAGCCTCCTTGCCTGTTGTCCTTGCTCTCTGCCTGCCCAGGGTCTGGTTTGTCCTTGCTGTCCTGAATGCTTTTGAACACAATAGTGTAACTTATTCTACACGTAAAGGATAGTGGGAAACTGTGCTACATATGGAAAAGACTTTTAAAAGGGGTCTTATTTCTCCGGGGATGTGTCTGAGTGCTGTTTCCTGCTGAGCATAACCTTACAAATGCATCTCTTGCAGCCTGTGAAGAAGAAGCAGAGAGCAAGAGTGATAGAATATTTCATCGATGTGGCACGGGAATGTTTCAACATTGGCAACTTCAACTCCTTAATGGCTATTATTTGTAAGTATGTGTACTGAGATATTATTTTATCCCTGTTTAAATCTGGATAAAGTGTTTTACACAGAAGGCTACTGCTGAGCTTGGTCAGCAGCATGAAGTTACTCAACACTGTTGTAGTGCTATGTGTGTAGTATAAACTTGGTGTAAACCAAAGTTTTCTTTGCAACTCTTCAGTGACCTCAATCCCCACTTTTTCAAACCAACTTCAGTGCTAAATTGGAATAGTTACTTTCCCTGTAATATGGAGAATTGAAACGTCTTCCATCATTTCTGTCACATCCTAGTGGTTTGAAATCCACACCTCTTTATATATGATAGGAAAATACTGGGAATTTTTTTTTCATTTGAAATGTGAAAACTTCATAGTTAGGTGTAGTTTTCAATGAATTGTGTAAGAGATGGTGTTCAGAACACTCATTTGAACTTCCTGTTGTATGTACGTGTTTTATCAAATCCACATTAAATAATGTCATAGTATTTTTTTAGAGCTTTCATTCTGTAAGAGATGAAGATTTTGTTTCCAAGGTTATTTTGGAATTTAAAGAAAATAGTGAGTGATTTCTTGAGTAGCTTCATTGAAAATACTTGTTATTGGTAATAAATTCTTTGCTTTATAAATACTTACTGGTCCAAACTACCTAGAAGATTTTTTTTTCTTTTTAATACTCCAACAATCTCTTTCTTTTATATCAAGCTGGCATGAACATGAGTCCTGTGTCTCGATTAAAGAAAACCTGGGCAAAAGTGAAGACAGCCAAATTTGATATTCTTGAGGTAAGTTTGGCTAATATTTGGACAGGAGGCTGTTTATACCATGTTACTTTAAACTGCTCAAAAATGTGAGTTTGGCTTCATTATGACATTTAATTTAGTTTATTTGTGCTCTTAATGGATATTGTCCAGCTGACCTTTGTCAAAGATCATGCAGGTGCAGCACTATATGAGTTTGTGATTTGTCCAAGAGAATGTATTGGATCCTTTGAATAGACAGTTTTTTAAATAAAAAATTATAAAATGAACAGACAGAGTGATACCACAGTCCTCTACAAAGCTGCATTGGTGGGGCTGTTCAGAAGACCTTTTCCTATTTAAGAGTTGCTCAGTCGAAAAAGGGTTGTGTGTACCTCATTATTTGCATCTTTTCATGCCTTGCAGCATCAGATGGACCCTTCCAGCAATTTTTACAATTACCGAACTGCTCTGCGTGGAGCGACTCAGAGGTCCCTGACAGCTCACAGCAACAGGGAGAAGGTGTGTTTGCAAATGAATTGGCAGTGGGCAAAAGGGAAATGTGCTTGTTAAGCTGCATGGTAAACCTTTATCCTGGAATTCTCATTCTCAGCAACTCTGCCCCTGGTGGGCCTGTAAAAAGCTGCCAGATCAGTTTGGTGCTGGCTGAAGTCCAAACATTAAATGATCACTTGAATTATTTCAGTGAAATAAGTACATTGCCTCAGCTCCTTTCTGTTTGACAGACACCTGTATCTCACAAACCCATACTACAAACAGAAAGGCTAAGGACTGACATGAGGTTGCTAGTAATTTGTTTTTAAAGCTGCTGCTTGTGCTAAACTTCCAGTAATTCATGGCTTAAGGTGGAAAGGCTTTAAAACTTACTCATAAAAGGTGTTCCAAACCTCAAATCTAGACAGAGCTGTGGCATTTTTTTTTTGTATATAGTCTTTAGATGCAGAATCTCAGTGGTAGTTCATGTGGAAAGGAAGCAAATAGCTTCCCAGTTGCTCCCCACTTGGAAGCAGTTGCTCATCAACTCCTTATGATATTAGGACTTCATGCTGTGTTGAATAAACACGATCTTGGAGTTCATGGAATAAACTACCAGGTAGATGAAGCAAATCCACATGCAGGCTGCTGATCTATACTGTTGTTATACATGGAATGTCTTTCTGAGTCCTCAGGATCTGTTCACATATCATTCAAAGTACCAGAAGTCTAAATATAAGAGGCTTACTTCTTTTCAGAGAAAAGTCAGTTTTAAGACTTCAAAAAAAAAAGATATTGAAATATGGCACAGTGAAGTGTTCTGTCGAAATAATAAGCGGTATTTGTTTTATCCCCAGTTGTAACAAGGATGTGTAGCTGTGAAAACTTCCATAGGATGAAAATTAAAATAGAACCATTTTAGGAAAGTAAAATTCTCCAGCATTATCCAAAGAAAATTCTTTGTTCAGTTGGCAGGAAATGCCTCATTTTAAGCCAATCAGTACCAAGGCTCCATGATTTGCATGAGTTCAGGGAATTGTAGCTCAAACCATTTGTGCTGCTACCCCAATATTCCCTGCCATGCTTCAATGGACATCTCCCCCCATTTACCAAGTCAGTCCTGTCAAGAGGAAAGCTACACTATGAGATACTCTGCAGGAATTATGTGTAAGAAGTAGGTGCTTCTGACCATTTATCTTCTGGACTCTGCAAGGAAGAAGGAAAAAAATGAAAACAAGAAGGACACGACATAGAAATGGAGGACTTCATGGAGACACTTGTATTTTAAAATGTAGTGAATGCACAGTTTTTATGTAAAGATGTAGAATCCTTAGTGCTTCTGTATTGTGCTTACCTTTTTTATCACCCGACTTCCTTTCATTTTTCTCTGTAGACCATTGTGTCTTGATTCAGGACCAGACTGACAATAATGCTGCTCTCTCCCTAGATCGTGATACCTTTCTTCAGTCTCTTGGTCAAAGATATTTACTTCCTCAACGAGGGTTGTGCCAATCGCCTTCCCAATGGCCATGTCAATTTTGAGGTAAGGGGAGCACTGAGTGGGGTTTTAATGCAGGGTCAGCCCCTTTAACAGAAAACTGAAGCAGATCACTCTCCAATTTCCACTGGGTTCTGGGAAAGCAAACATAGACTGGAATTTGAGTGTATATGTTACTTCTCAAGGGAGCTGGGAGGTAGTCAGGAAAAAGCAGTTTTATTGAAGATGGAGTGTTTATAGAAACTTTCAACATTCCCAGTTTTTTAGTGGGGGCAAAAAAAGTCAGAACTTCTTCCCCGTGCTCAAATTCATCTCAACATTTCAGTTCACAGGTGTGTTATAGTTAATGACAAAATGTTCAAATGTGGTATTTTCAGGGTCCCCCATCGAAAGGAGGAAATGATGAATCTGACTCTATGTTCTTAGAAGGCTAATTTATTATATTATATTTAAAATACTGTACTAAACTATATTAAATAATAGAGAAAGGATACTTACAGAGGGCTGAAAGATAATAATGAAAAACTTGTGACTCCTTCCAGAGTCCCAACACAGCCTGACCGTGATTGGTCATTAAGTTAAAACAATTCACATGAAACCAATCAAGCACCCACCTGTTGGATAAACAACCTCCAAACACATTCCAAAGCAGCAAAACACAGGAGAAGCAAATCAGATAATTATTGTTTTAGTTTTCCTCTGAGGCATCTCAGCTTCCCAGGAGAAGAATACTGGGCAAAGATATTTTTCCAGAAAATATGACAGTGACATTCAAATTAGTATTTTAGGGCTTTATCTTTTAATTCCTCTCATAAAAAGCAAGTTCCTCCTTTATCAAGATTATAGGCAGCACTAGCATGCATGTAAGTCCCAGATTGTCTCTGAAGAAATATGTGATAGAGCAGCAGTGAGGAAGTTTAGGCTCTCTTGTCTTCCTGTAGTTTTTCTGCCTCTGAGTTCATGTTTGTTATCTGACACAGGGTGAGTTACCCAATGATTTGTTTCCTGGTACTTTCACTTTTCAGGAAGCCTGGGTCATCCACACAAAAGTACAGTATATTTCTGTGGTCATCCACCACAAAAGTACAGTTGTAGTCATAGGCCTGAGTTAGCCTAAAGGTTCTAAAACTAGGCTGTGGAATTCCTTTTGCTCAAGGAATCCACCTGCACTTGTGGCATGTTAACTTTAATCGAAAGAGCTTATCAAATAATGGCATCAGCACACTACATGGGGAGTGTTTATTTTTGGCCTACTTTTCCAGCAAGAAAATAAAGCATTTCATATTTGCTAACTGACAGGAAACATCTGGATTTTGAAATGTCAGTATTAAGCATCTGATGAGAAAACCACTATGTATTTAATTGCAAAACAAAAAGCATAAGCATCAATGAAGTTAAAATTTGGGCATAAGGGTTGTGTTACCAGCTCCTTGGAAAAAAGAGTTAAGTGTACTTCATGATCTACTGTATTTGTATTCACAACAGCAATTTTAACAAGGTGAAGGAGTGGGAAGTTACCATAGATTGAAACAGGAATACAAAAGTTAGAAGCTGAGTTGTTGAGTCAGATCATGTTCAAGTCTGTCTTAAAAGCCAAGGACAATCGAAGCCTTGGTCTCCAAACCAAGATCTCTCCTTCTTATTAAAAAAATATTCAGGGTAAGCAGTGCTGTTCAATGTATAGCAACCTCTTCTGCTTTGTATTCTGACAGAAATTTTGGGAATTGGCAAAACAAGTCAGTGAATTTATGACATGGAAGCAAGTGGAGTGTCCTTTTGAAAGGGATTGGAAGATTCTGCAGTACTTGCTCTCTGTCCCAGTCTTCAGTGATGATGGTAAGGAGCTCTGGGCTTCTGCAGGAATGGTGTCACTGGCTACTGCCTAATCTCTTTCTGTGTTAATTTGTGGCTTCCTCACAGTAAGGAAAAACTGTCCTGAGGACATCTCTGTCTGGCAAGTGAAAAATGCTGCTCCCTTACAAATGACAGAGAAGATTTTTCTCTTATGTGCATATAGTCTGTGAGGGTCAACATTGGTTCTGAAATAGAATGAAGTAATGTGATGTGGTCCCTGTAAATGTCACATGAAATGTATTTATGTGGACTTTCAGGATACTTTGCACTGAAGGGTGCTGCTTAAGGAAGAAAACAGGGACTTCACTGGCTGCTTACAAAGCACCATGTCCCTGGGCTCAGTTTATTTTCTCTTGAGTGCTTTCTTCTCCTCATGCTTTTGAGTTTCCACTGGTTAGTTTTTCCCCCCTCAGGGCTGTCTTTAGCATTGTCTGGGTGCAATTATAAGCAATGCTATACTTCCTAATGGGATTCTGAAGCCCTAAACTGAGGGATGGATAATACATGCCTGCTTCATTTAACTCAGACTGCTTTGCAGGGAGAGCAAATTTAAAAATGCCAGTAGGCCTAACATAATGTATTTGCTTCTGATTGCAGCACTTTACTTGGCTTCCTATGAAAGTGAAGGTCCTGAGAACCACATTGAAAAGGACAGATGGAAGACACTAAGGTTTGTGTCAGAGGTTACCTAGATCAATAAATAAACAGAATAGGATACAGAGCAAGCATCAAGCAGTTAAAACCAAATGGAGTGTTACATGTTTCAACAGATGGGGTACAGCATGGTCGTAAATCCCCCCCACCCCAATCTCTTGGAGTCTTGGAAAAAATAGAACAATCGCTCTTTATCTTAAACCCTCTCAGTCCTTCTTTCCCTTAGGAAATGGGAATTAGAATAAGTAATTTCGTATTTTAACTCCTTGTGTTACTCAGTGAAGAAAGAAAGTGCTTTCTGAACTCCAAGAAATCCCCACTTCATCACAAGTACTGTACAGAGCACTCTGGATGCCACACAGATGTTTTCACAGCTTCTGCATCCCTTTCTGCACCAGCCTTTCAGACAGGGCTGAGGTTTGCCTAAAGGTCACTCTGGGGCAAATGCATTAATGAAACCAGCTAACAATTTAGAGCTCAGGCTGGGGAAAAATATTCAGCAAAGTCATATTTTTGGCTTTTCTTCTGCTGCTATTAGAATGCAGCCTCAGCAGCTTTTTGATTTTACTAATTGTGGAAGGCTTCATGAACCATTGAGGCCGGGGATGTAACAATTCCATCTGATTGATGCCACTCATTTTGAGGAGGAGACAAGAAGAGAGTTACATCAGGGCACAGACATTCCATGTTACACAGGGTGACAAGATCTGTAGCAGCGGGAATCTCAGTTTCACAGCTTCCTTATCACAGTCACTCTGTCTGAGAAGATTTACATGGTTCTATGGTTTTCTTTACCATTTGCATTTCCCTCTGCCTTTCAGGTCAGCGCTTCTGGGCAGAGTCTAGAGCACACCCTGTCTGCTGTTGCTGTGTTACACGGATTGCCAAGGGCCATGGCTTGGTTTACTTTTCTGTGCACTGAGTGGCACTCAGAATGATGAAAGATGTGCAGTCAGTTGCAATATTGTGGCAGCAAACATGAAAGAAGTTAATTCAAGAACAAACAGGCGGCTTCTCCCATCTGACAGATGAGATAAAATCACAGCCCACTCATCTGGGATTCAGGCTGAAGTATTGATTGAGAATCCTTTGAAGATCTCAGATGCTGCCTATGAGTCATTTCACACCTGGATAGAATATTCTTTCCTTTCCTTTTGCTGCAGCTTGCTGCTACAAGGACTCTGCAGAGCTGCTAGAAGGACTCACAGGAGGCTACAGAGGGGAAATGTTCACCGTTCCTTTCAGTGAAACCCAAGTCTGCATTGAAGAGCTCTCATTCCTAATAAGCTGAATATATCCCAGAAGTTTGGGATTGCTAAGAAGGGAAAGGACTGGACACAAGAATTTGCTGCTGAGGAGAATTTCTCCCTACCACTGTAATGGTGGCTGGGTTTTTTGTCTTTTTCCAATGTGTTTTTGAGTTGGCTGCTGGCAGGCAAACTCATTATTATTTTAAGTTATTTAAAAAAATATAAAGTAATAAAAATCTAAGCTGTGGTAGAAAATGCACCTGCTATAAAAAGGTAGTAGCTATGTAGCTCTACAACTTCTAGAGAGGCTTTTTCTTTTGTTCACTTCTTTACAACTAACACTACATGCTACAGACACACTTTTTTTACCATGCGGTTTTCTTACTCTTGATTTTCCATACTTGACCTTCTTCTTATATTAGGTTGAACAAGCTGACTTTTTTAGAATAATCATTGAGAAACTGGCATAAAAACTGTTGAAATGTGAGAAATGTATGTTTTTATTCAGTAATTTTTATAACTGCCTTTTTTTTGAAAGGGTAACAGTGGAGAACACAGTCCACTTTGACTGAAACAGCAAGATGCTAAAAAGAAAAAAAGAGTTTCTTTTCCACTCCAGCTATGAACAAACCAGTCTTCCTGTGTGTTTGCTTTAGGGATTATGTTTATGACTGTGAAGTAGTTCACTGTGTTACACACCTAATAAGTTTTTAGTAGCTCTGAATACTTAGTCACTCTATCTATCCTAGGAGAAACCTGATTGAAAAAGAAATACAAAACTAAGCTGTAGCTGTAGATCACCCTGGATGCAAAAATCAATAAGCAAAGTACATACTTGGCAAAAAAAAACCTATTTGCAATTATTCTGCTGCTGTTGTTAAAAAAAAAGGAAAAAAGTAAGAATAAATATATTTATTTGTTGCACTGCATCTCTTGAGTCTTCAGGTAAGGTGATTTTTATGTTCTGTCTGTACTTTTTCAGGCATATATCTTTATTTTGAATTCCGTAGTAACATGTTGAGGTAGCCTTTGTTCATGGGGATACTGTCCTTAACTACAGCCTGTTTGCTGAAACAAGATACTGGATGTCTCTGAGTTATATATTCCACAAGGAATTCCCTTCTCACCATGGTTTCAAGCCCTGACAGAGGAGGTTTCCTCTCCTCCTTTCCCATTCCCTGTGTTGTGGTGAAGGAGGAAGAAGAGACCAACTCTTGGAAAGGAGAAAATTGCTTCTGCTGTGCAAGGCTTGCCTCCCAGCTTTCATCAGGTGAGGTCGTTCCCATCCTCCCCTCTACATCCCTCCCCTGTTGTTGGGGCTTATGTCTGGTGCTTGAGAGGGGAGTGCAAATCCCAAACCTCTGGCAGGCCAGAGCTGCTCCTTCAGCCATCAGTGTTTGATGTTAGAGCCTTGCCATGCTCTGTGCCCTCTGCCCCATCATTTGGTGCAGCCAAACCATGCTGGGCTTTAATTTTGAGCATCCCAAGCTGTGTCAGGCTGTTAAACCACTGGTGTGGAAAGGGCCATTCACACCTGTCCATAGCAAATGGGAGAGAAAAGGATTCATTCTTCCATGGTCCAGCAGCTCCCAAAGGAAACATCACAGACTCTCAGAAATGAGGAGTCACAAGAACTCATTAACTCTACAAGCTGAGTGTTGAGGCAGGGCTGAAAATCCCAGCTCAGTGCTGACAGATGCTCAGTGCTCAATGGGGGCAGAGGCAGCAATGATGTCTCCTGTACAAATGGCTCAAACATTACTTAATTTCTTTGTGGTGCACTTTCTTCTCATGGTGCAGAGACAAAATCTCTGCCTCTTACAGAGCCATGTGAACCAGCTTGTTCAAAAGAGTCTACAGATGTCTGGCTAAGCCCACAAGAGCAATACCTGTCCTTACCATCCAGCTATTTCCCTGCTCTCCCAATTGGAAAATCTCCATGGCATCACCATGAAAAGAGCAGTCAGATGAATGCAAAAGTGTGTAAGAGCCTATTTGCAGCTCTCATGTCTAAAAGAGCAAGTAGGAACCTTTACATCCACGTGGGTATTTTGCATTTGAGTTGTATTTTGTCAGCCTTCCCAGACAGATGTTCTTGACAGAGCTGAAACTGTTACTTGATCTAGCACTAAAACAGGCAAATAGGCAGTAGGCAAAGCATCATTCATTTCCCAGGATTTCTGTTACTCTAGGGAATATTCCCTGTCATTCTGGGAGACTTTTTTTACTACATAAATAAGAAAAAACAAAAAATAAAAACACATAGAAAACAAAACATAGAAAACAACATAAAAATGTTGAGATCAATAAAAAGTCAAAATCGCAGATAAGAAAATAAAAAGATGCCTTAAGCTAAATTCTCTTATAAAACTATAGTAAAAATATAAAAGAGATATCAAACTCTTTTTATTATAACTCACAAAATGCATTAGAGCAATGTAACATTCTAACTACAGCTATAAGTAAAAGCACTAGTGCTGAAGCAAACAGATGTTAAAGTAATTATGATCTAATAAGCTTAAACAAAAACAAAAAAAAAACCTTGCTCCAAAAATAAAGAAAATCTCTGTTTCTCAGAGATAGATGAGAAGAACTTTTATGCTAAAACAGCTTATCCTTAAAATACTACTCCATAAGTTAATGTAAACCATATAAAAACGATAAGAAAACTATAAAGTGTAAAAAAACCTTTCACACTGCAAACAAATTTTCCTTTTCCAAGCAGCCAATTTGCTATGACATTAAAACCACAAGAAATCTTTCTTCTAGAAAAGTCTCCATAGCATATCAAGAGACACCCCTCTCCCTAAAAAAACTAAAAAAATCTATTCTAAAAATAGTAAACTAACTGAAAGTACCAAATTTTGTCAATTATAAAAAAGTATAGGAGAAAAAAAGTGTTCTAAAAGTTTTTTTCTAATTCTTATTATTCTGTCTTTTAATTGTATTAATAGTTTTCTTTATACCCTTTAAACCCTTACGCTTACTTTGCTCTCCTCCTAATTCTTATCTCAAAGTAAAAAATAAATACGTAATTCTAATAAGTGCACTGGCATTTAGCCAGCATTAAACCCACTACATTAATTAGTGTGTTAGCCAAAATTCTCAAATTAGCAAACCAAAACCACTGCACTTACTATATGTGTGTAGCATGCTCCTTTGTGGGCTTCCTGCAGTCTTTTTTGCTGGAAAAGAAGAAGAATCCTTTTGTAGTGCACCAATGTCTGCTTTTTCTCTCAGCTCCTCTGTCTAGTCTTGGTAGCAGATTTTTCCAGCTTAAAGGGAAGGCATGTGCTAAGCTGACACTTGATACTCCAAGAACTGATAAATTCAGTGAGGGTTTGGTGCCAGCAAGGGCATCATTTGATACCCACTGACACTTCATCATCATTACACCGTGCTGCATAAAGCTATTGTGGAATAGGATTTTTTCTTTCTCCTTCAGCAGAAAGTTTTAGCTACAGTGTGACCCAAAAGGAGATCTCACTGTAAGCCAAGTAAATGCAGTGTCCTCCTTTCATGGAGATTACTCTTCAGGAAGAAAAATGCAAAAGATATTGTGAATAAAGCAGCTGGTTTTTATCAGCTATTTATGTAGCCAAAGAAGTCTGAGTGCCAGTGATTCTGTGGGGCCAGATTACCTGCTTTGTCCTACTGCTTTTCTCCCCTGTCTTGTGAAGTCCGGAGGCTGGAAGGGGAAATGGTTCTTAGGTGGGCTTCCAGCTGCAGGGGAAAGCAGCATCTGGAGCCAGTGTATTCCAGGAAACAATAAACCAAGCAAAATATCTGTGGGTGTTACAGCAGGATCTTCTGCAGGCTCCCAAGTCTGGCCTAGTGGTCAAAAGATTAAATAACTTTCCTGTCATTAACAAGTCCTTAGTGTCTGACAACTCCCTGGCATTCACATATGGAATGCCTCACTGCTTTTTAAATGAGTTTTTCTTGGGAGAAAGCTATATGTAGGAAGTCAGAAATTATTAGGGCTGGGAGAAAATTATTTCAGAAGGAGTTAGACTTTCCCTTGTCTTTTTCTCCTCCAGACAGTTCAGAGGAGTTGAATTCTGCTTTTCCATTAAAAAGTTAGAAGAGGATCTATGGAGTAATAGAAAAGAGAATCTGGTAAGAAATTAATTGGCACCCCTTTGCTGAGGCATGTCACATAATTGTGGCCAGCAGTATTGGATAGAAGGAAGTGCAAGCAATAGAAGTTTAAGTTACAGTAGTTTATTTGACTTGGATGTGTTGAATTTCAGGTTTGCTGCCTAAGAAGCTCCACTCAAATCCCACAGTGATTCTCTTGTAAAGGGAGTCAGAGGTGAGCTGCAGCTGCTACCAAGCTTTAGAGAAGGTAACATCCAATGCCAACAAGAGTAACTTAGTAGGATGACAGAATGACAGCAGAAGTTTACAAAAACATCAATCAATTAGTAAAAAAAGTTTAGAAAAATAGCATGTGAAACATGTGATAAAACAAGTTTTGGCTGCATCCAATGTGTTTCTTCCTACTGCTGTTGCTAAGGCAACAATCTATTCTGATGCTAATAATGAAGAACATTACTGTTTCTCCTTAATTTCTGTTTGAGCAAACATACAACTCTTATGGTACTTCTTTCTGTTTGGCAGTTCAGGATCAGGCCTAGAGGAAGCAGCAGGTGATGCTCTTTGATCCCTGTGTGACTCAATTTAATAACCAGCAGAATTGGAATTCAGAGGCTGTTTGCCCCCCATGAAAAAGTGCTTACAGCATTACACACTCTCAAGCAACCTCACAGAGACCAGGTCTCATGTGAAGGTCCAATCTGAATTCGGAAGGTTGTGCATTAAGGAGACCTCATCTGTGAATTTCTGTTTCAACAGGTTTACTTAAAATCGCAATACATTTTGAGCTGTTTTCCACAAAAGATTAATGAAAATATATTCTGGAGCAATATTCACAGAGTATGTCATTAGATTAAGTTTCAAGAAAAAGGTAAGTGTATGATGAGAACAGTGCACCACAGTGTAAGCTTTTTAACAGATAGAATTTTGCTTTCCTCATACAAAATCAAAATCAGATTTATCCCAGATAGCTGCTTTCATAATACAGATTTTCAGGATACAGTACAAGTATTTTTGATGTGCTATCAGGTTGTTATACTTAAGAAACAGTCATTCACCAGCTTTAGAAGTGAAGTGGGAATTTATTTAAGTCCATATATTTGTCTATACAAATTACATTTCATATAATAGTGGCATACTTGATTGGATTATTTAAATGCTGCTTTTCTTCTCAAAGAAGAAAACTCCTTCCTTTTATTAGCTGCCATGGGAAGCCATAGTTACACAATGTCTTGTGAAGAGTGCCAGTTGGTATATCAGTAGTTAGCTGATTTTCAGTGAAAAGAAGTGAAGAAGGCACTCCAGTTATCCAGCATGACTGAGAGAGCCTTTTCAGTTAAGTGTTACATGATTGTCCTGCTTAAATCCCTTATCTGCGGTCTGCTACTTTGGAATTGAGTTTTAGAAATTGCAGAGGTCCTGTTCGAGTGGGAGGAGGGCAGGGAGGGTGTTTGTCCCTCCCACTCAAGGGGAGGACA